GCTTCCACCTTTCCCAAAGAGAAGGCACGGACAGATGTCATTAACGTCGGTCGGGTTTCACACCAAGTGATTCTGTTAAAAGCTGGTGTGTTTTGTGTGCTGTGTCTGACAAATTCATCTCAGTGGGTTTTTCTAAGCAGTAACACAGACCACCCAGTGGGATGTCCAGCCTTTGCCAGAGGCAGTAATTTATTCAGGAACATGAATAATATGCTTTTAAAGAGCTTTTTCATTAATGCTTCAGGAAAAAAAATAAAATCACCAGAATAATATCCTAATCTCCATTTCCTGTGCCAGAGGTGAATTCTGAGGGCCCAGAGCCTGCAATTCACCAAGTGTTTGGGAGGTCCTGGACAGACAAGTCAGTGTTGGGCTACCAAAAGCACTGGGTACGTACCTTGTAGAGAGCATCCACCTTGAGAGTGAATCCGTCAACTCCGGGCATGCTGCTGACCGAGTGGAACTCGGACAGCTCGGAAGCAAAGTGGGCGTCAAAAGGCACATCGTGGAAATACTTATCCGTCACTTCCGGCTGGTTTCGGTCCTGGAAGGCAGAGAAGTGTCCTGAGCGATGCTCTCTGCTTTCCCAAAAGAGGCTGGAAGGCAGGGCACTACCTGGGCAAGGGCTCTAATGCAAATGCCCCATCTCCACACCTACATGCAGGCACGGATTAAGGGACACTCATGGACAAAGGGTGGGGAAAAACCGGTCCTGTGCTCACACTTTGCACCAGCAGTACAAAAGATCCAGTGAGCTCCTTTCTTCATCCCTCTGCAGTCAGGATCTGCTTGCTGCCAGAGGAAATCCCAGAGGGGAAGCAGGAGCAGAGCACTCACCAGGAGCAGGAATCGGTGCTTCAGGTACTTGTTGGGCTGGATGCAGCCGTACTGGGGCCCCTCGTTGTAGACGGTGCCCGTGGGGTCGAAGAAGGGCACGTAGCCGTCCCTGCCCGTGCACAGGTAAACCTTCTCCAGCTGCAGCCGGTACGCCGCGTTCAGGTTCTGCTCCGGGTGCCAGAGCACGCGCCCGTACAGGACTTGCCCTGGGAACAAAGAGGAGCAGCTGATCCCCCAAGCAGGGGAACGCTGCCAGAGCCAAGTGTGCCAGACCACACGTGAGTCTGTGCTGAGAAGGGTTTGGATTGTTTGGGAAGGGCTTGGGGGGTGCGAGTGACAAAACAAGGTGCCAGAGCACGTTGTTGTTTTACAGGGCTGTAAGATGCTCAAAATGCCATTTATTGCTGTGGAAGAGGCAAAGCCACATCCGGGTTTTGCCCTTTCCTCTCCAGGAAATGGAAGCTGTGCAGGGAAAAACAGTGGGAACAAGCAGAAGAGGTGAGGTAAATCCTACCCTTGGAAAAAGCCCCTTTGTAATCCATTTCTGCCAGAGACATTTCCGACTTGGTGGGATCCATGAGAAAAACCTTCTCGTTGTTGCAGAGCTGAAACTCTGTGTTCAGGGAGTAAACAACCGGAACTGGGCGGTTTGTCTGCTGGAAGGCAATCGGGATCAGAAACCTGGAAGGGGGAGAAGGAAGGAAAGAAAGGGGAGATGAGGTTTGTGCAGCCCAGAGGGGCTGGCCCTGCCCTGGGCCGGGGCCTCCTTACCGCTCGGGAGCGTGAGCCGTGCAGGGCAGGGGCTTGTCTGCAGGCTCTGTCCACGGCTGCGTGGGCTGCACCGTGCAGGGGATCAGCAGGATGGTGTATTCTCCAGAGTAATCCTTCCTGGGAACAGACAGGAGCAGTCACCAGCAGAGCTCTGAGCTCTTCACCCAGGGCAGCAGCTCCCTCTTGCCCCGGCAATGTCATCCAGCAGTCCCTGAGGGACGAACGTGACCTTCTGAAATGCACCGTCACTTCTGGGATCAGCCTATCCACATGCTTCACTGCTGGAAAAATTCCTTTACAAAAGGCTGAGCTGATTTTCCTCTCAGCAGAACAGTGTTCCAAGCTCTGGCCAAGCTCCTGAGCATTCCACACGACTGCAGTGGCTGCTGCAGGGGTGCCAGGGAGAGCCTGGTGCTGTGGGAAGCTGCTGAAGGGGACTGGACCCCCAGCCCTCACCTGTTGTAGGAGCTGGTTGCTCTCCAGAGCTGGTAGGGAGAGTCAAAAGTCTGAGCACTCCACAGCAGCTGCAGGTCAAACTCGATCCCTCCCAGGTGCTCTGGAGTCATCAAGGAGGACCTGACATCGGGCAGGCTGTGGTGCTCCATGACAAACAGCCCTGGGGGGGACAAGGAGGTGACAGGGCACACACAGAGGGCCCATGTTGTCAGCACAGAAGGGCTCCTGGCGGGGACAGGGACTTGCTCTGCTGCCCGTGGTGCCAGAGCAGAGCTGTGTGTGACCCTGCCGTGTGTCCCTGCCGGGATCAGTGCCCTCACCTCTGAACTTGGCCTGCGTCCTGAACTCGATGACGAGGCGGCCGTCGTCGCGGATGTAGATGCGGATGATCTGCAGGCGGGCCGAGAGCACGCTGTCCGTCTGGATCCCTGCAAGCACAGCGGCTCAGCCGGCCTCTGCCAGCCCCAGGAGCTCTGCGAGACCTCCCAAGGCAGGCTTTCCTTGGCATCATCCTCCCCTGAGCCAGCTGCACACTTCCTCCTTCCCCCCCGGCTGCCTAAGCCCCCCAGAGGCATAAGGGAAGGAATGTTCCGAGTGCCCACTCCCTCGGGACTCCGGTGGCAGTGCAGGAGCTCAGGGGAAACACGAAGGAGCCGCTCATTGCACAGCCCTGGGAGGGCTCACCTGTCCTCCAGAGCACGGTGTCGTAGAAGAAGGAGAACTCCATCTCCGTGTGGTGCTCCAGGGCAGCCCAGCCCCTCGGCGCCGTCACGTAGATGTAGGACACGTACAGAGGCACGTGCACTGTCAGGAAGGACTGGGCAGAGTCCCTCACCTGGCAATAAAACCCCAAAAAGGGGGTCAGGCACCTTCAGGGCAGGTCAGAGGTGACTCTGGGTATTCTTTACCTCAGACAAACCTGGGTTTTAATTCAGGGGCAGTGCTGGGGATCGCTGGGACCATGGGACAGAGGGGCTCTAGGTGCAATTTCACCTCAAAACCCCCCAGCTTCCAAGGCTGGGAATTAAAAATCATCAATTCTGCTTGCTCAGGCCTCCCAGAGCTCTCCATTTATTATCTGCAGAGTGCAGCTGCACTTTGCAGGCCCCGGAGGATTCAGGGAGATGTTCCAGCCTGGCTGGTGCCAGGCTCCACATGCTCCAGTGGGCACTTGTTCAGGCCAAGTAGCTTCTCTGGGCTTGTGCAAACAATTGGAGCTATAAAAGGAAACTTAATGAAGTAGTCCAGGCTGGCAGGAATTAAAAGAGATGATACTGGTCCTAGCAAAGTGCCTGGGAATTTAATGCCTGAGCTTAGGGGAGGTGGAGTGGCCTGCACAGGGATAATGCAGCCACGAGAGGGCGGTGAGACACCTCACACTCATTTAGGGAGGAACTTCCCTGGGTTTTGGTCTGCCAGCCTGTTAATTAGGAAATGAGCTAAAATATCCCATGGCCTCGCTCTGTTGTAGAGCATGAACTAAGCTGCCTCTGCTCTGTCTTTGGCTCATTTCTATTGGCTGAGAACACAGCCAAAATTATAAAAGAGAGCCCAGCTGAGAATGTTTTATATTTCCAGTATGGCTATACATTAAAAAAACAAGTATTTTCCTGGCGCTCTGAAGATTAAAAGATTAAAACCTGTGATACTCCTAGGAAAATACATGAAATAAATGCACAGCGCACTGTTCTCTTCCAGGTGACAGGGAGGGAAAGGCACACTGCACCTGTACAGAGCAGAGGCAGCTTAGTTCATGCTCTACAACAAGGGGAGCATGGGACAAGGGGAGAGCTGGCAGGGGCCCCCTCTCACCTGGAAGTCAGCAGTGACAGAGCCCCCGCAGACATCGATTAACTCGGTCATGTCGTAGAAGGCGTCGAAGGTCCAGACGCAGCTCTTGAGGTTGAGGTGCTGGTACAGCCGGATGCTCCGGGGCTCCCGCACCGCAGGGTCCAGCTGGTAGGGCC